TTTAAAAAAAACACTATATATATAATTTATTAGGAAGCTCCGAAAATTCCGAGTAAAAACTGGAAAATCCCGAGTGAGATTTACTTAAAATCTTCGTACATAATCACTGGCGAAAGATCAAAATATCAAACGATCGGCATGCTGTAACTGGTCGTGTTGTAAGTACCTATGTAATATACTACGTGTGTGTATACAACATTATCCGCCCCGCCAGTGAACCCATACCGTACGTCATAGTCATTGCAGTTGTGATATTGTAATATATTTATTATACAGAACAATACGAAATTCGATCCGAACCAAAAAAAAATGACAACGGTTTAAACCCGTTTTTAGACATACAGACTGAAATTATTTCGAACGGGTTAATCACGCTGTGCCCTAAATCGTTGTTTAGAAAAAAAATAAACACCGCACATCGACCTATCCAATGATTTAAAAATATTTCTACTCAAGTAATTTAGACTTACAGATAAAACATAATATGTGACATATTTTATTATACGACCAACTCGTCATGTACGGTTAAAGTGTTGAACCAACCAAATTCACTGTAACATCGTATACCGTCTTTTTGAAAAATAATATGTTAAAGCGTTGAACTGCATTATTATTTGTAAGCAAAAAAAAAAAATTATAGGTACCTAAATGGTATGATACTTACATGCTTAAAAATCGATAATTCGAATGTTTTATAAACGAAAAATGAGAACATTTTTCTAAGACAATTATATAGGTAATATTTCAATTTAAACACGCAGTCGTTATGTAAATTAAATAAATTAATAATAATCACTCAATAGCTTTTTGTTGCTTTTTGTGTATATTATTATATTGTGTGTGAAGTTAATGAAATAAATATAGGTACACATAGACTAGGTAATAATTATTATAACTAAACAGCTATAGTAGTGTCTAGTACTGCTCAATAAGTATATAAAATATAAATGTTAATAGCTAGTATAATTTACAATAGTTATTAGATACCTATTAATATAGACTAATTAGTCTCAATCACTAATCACCATTCACTATCAATATAATATTATAATGGCGTTATTACAAAATTATAGGATAATAATAATTATTGTTAAAAGCATGTATTTGTGAAGTTAGATCGTTATATTATTAAGTTACAAAATCATAATATACTTTGTGGCTATTGGATTACTCTGACGTTTGAGTTATCCGCTAAAAATTAAAATCGGTAAAATTATTATGCTCACATAATGACCGAAGCGGCCCAGCAATACAAAAAACTATTTATTCTAATTATAATGTCTTTATCGAGATGAAATTGTATATTCTACAATCTACATCGACAAGATGTAGTATAATATTATACTGGAATATTCCGACGATAGTTTTAAACCGATATAATCGTTATTACGGTTACCACTTACCAATAATCGTCCTGCATCGGATAAAACTGTACTAAATTCCGTTTAATTTATTCTAAGTGCAACAAAGCATTAAACTATTTACAGGGCATATCTTGCATTTCAATACACAGACCTTAATATATTTCAAGATTTATGGAAATTACCTGTTTAAATTTCATCATTATTAATTTGAATGTTATTAAGTTATCACGTATCACATATATGACAAGACCTACCTACTAGTTGTATCCTTATTATTTAAGATACCTTGAATCACGTTTGTTGTGGGTTTTTTGATTATGTGTAAATATATATAAAAAACAATGTTTATTGCTCCAATATGAACCGATGAATTTTCTAGTCAGTCATGATAAATATAATATAAAATTATATTAACTTGTAACAGGTTTTTCTATGAATTTTCTAATTATATTTTACGATGAGTAGGTATGATGCAGATTTAATATTAAACCTAGGCGCTAAAAATCAAATGTTAATATATATACATTATATAATGTGTTAAAACACTATTAGTTTTTATTATTTTTCATTAAAATGTTATTGTTATTTATAAATAGGTATGTACTATGTACTCGTATACTCGCTCGTACTAATTTATATGATATCTAATAAACCGTAAGTCAAATTGTCTAAGTTCAAACTTAACAATATAAATTAATATTTATTAAAGGTTACTCAAATTAAACGTAAAAGATTATTGACTGTTACAAGTTATATATACATTGTTGGCAAAGACGCAAATACGGGGAGAGGGCTTTAGAGGCTTAGCCTCACAAACATTTCATACATTTCATACAATTTGCTTATTCAATATTATATAGGTAGTAGAGCTTCAACCCACCCTCCCAAACTTTAAACGCTATTTGCCCCTATATTGGTTGGTTACGATTCATACTAAAGTATGGTATACAGTAAAATATAAATGAAAATTTGTCCAGAATTATTCAATTTGGAAGTTCGTTAAATATAATGCAATTTGTAGATTGATTGTTGATGTGCTACACAATATAAATGTTGTAAAATATTTTTACTTACACTGTATGATGGTTGTCCATTGTTTTTGTAATTGTAAATTTTGTATAATTACAGTCAAAAATGCATTCGGGTGCATCAAAAAAAAAATGACTTAAAAATATAAGATTCATCTAACATAATTAACAAGATAAGATTTATGCTCAAACTTGTATAATACGTCAGAATTTTTTATTTTCACATGCTTGACGCCTGGCGGGTTCGATATACATATGCCTATTTCGATATATCAAAATCTTTCTTTTAATGCATAGCTTTGAGTACTAAGCTATTACAGCTCGACAATTAAATAAAATATACAATATATTAGCGGATAATATTATATAATAACTTATAAATAGCTTACACGATAGCAAGTATAAATTAGATAAAGATTGTTTAAGCAGTCACAAAAAATGTAAATATAAAAATATAAAAATAAATAATTAGATAATGGGAGAAATAATAGGTTTGGTGATAAGCGTTTGTGTAAAAGCTCGGTTAGGAGAGAAATTAGTGGACTAATTAAAAATTTTTAATTAGAAATAAATTGCGATGTCATTGTTGAGACGATTTCTAGAGGAGAATATTATAATGCCTTCAGCATAGGATTTCGTTCAAGGCTGAGCATAAGTTTCTTGGACCTCGTTTGACGGAGCCTTTGGAAATATTTTGTGATTATGGTTTCTGTTGGAACAGGATCATCCTGTTGTTATACAATTTGAAATGTTAGTACGGCTGAAAGCCTTTAAAATTGGCTGTGTGTACACCAGAACACAGGCCTCACTAACCCAACGTGGCTTAATGCAATCTCCAGTGAGATGATCCTGCCTATATTTGGGGCAGCGAGGAGCGTATGAACATTATCTAAGTGTGTGTCCGTATAACTGGCACCGCTTGCATTGTGGGTGAAGTAGAGCTTTTCTAGGTCTTTTGATGATGACTTTAAATGTAGTAGATTTGTCAATTTAAAAATTATTATGTGCCTATTGAATTTGAAGTTAATAATAGGATCAATAGTAAAAAGTGATATCGAAACCCACGCAATTATAATATCTAAATATTATTTATCTTATATTAATAAATTATTATTCTGAGTCAATTGCGTGACGATAATAAACCATTCTTGTGTTTTACAATATCCGACATAATGTTACACTGTCCTTATAGAATATAGAACATTAAAGTTTTTGATTCGTTTTATGCTTAACATAAGCTTTGGTGGACGTAAAGCTTGCGCGATCTAGTCACTATACTATGCGTTACAGTCGACAGAGGGCAGAATTAACGGTTTTCGGCGTAGATGGCACTACAGCTTTTGGTGGAAAATTATTTCTCAGACGAAAAATTCAAAAATCTCCACTTTGAACTTTTGGAATATTATATTCAGCGTTATTTTATGGAAAGAGCTACTGAGAAACTGCAGAGGACCATAAAGTAGGCCTTAAAGAGTTGACCCCCCCCCCCCTTCCCTATAATAAATGTACTAAAATATATGAAAAATATTTAAGATTTCTAGATTCTTTTGAGTCTCCAATTTTTAGATTTATAAAGTATAGGTAGTCTTTAAATTCTACGAATAAGGAGAAACGATATATTTTATAAACTAATGATAAACATTTCCCATAAGGTGGAGTTGGAGTATCTTGTATCGTTGTCCGTTGATTATTCCTCATAATATGTCTCATGTATTCTATTTTCGGATATTTTATTGTTGTTGACAGTTCCTTCTCTTTTCTCATTTTTTCAAGTACACTTTTTATTACGATTACGACCTGTTCATGCACTTGTTAGCATTCACCTGCATGACCACATCTCAGGTATATAACCAATATGAATAAAATGATGTCACATACAGCACGATGAGCGTGTCCGTTTTATTATTGTTATTATTATTTCATAGTATCGTCGAATTTACTTTTTAAATTAAAACGTCGTCGTCCACAGACGGAATACATCTCGTGATAAAAAAAAATATTTTTTCTTTTTCTAATGGACTTCCAATGCCGTCACGGTCGTCGTATAATATATAATAATATGATCTATGTGCAATAATAATTGATGTCGCGGCGATACGATCGTGTAAATACAAACGGTAAAATATGTATTATATTATAATACGACCGCGGGAATAAAAAAAAAAACAAAAACAAAAAACGTGTAATACGAGAAAACCGAACGGGACGAGCGTATAATATACATTTGTACATCTTAAACAATATATTACAAGACCCGTCGTTGTGTATACATATATATATATACATAATACATATGTATATAGGTAAAACCCGACACACAATAACGTAACATTATACACTTTATATTATATTATATTATTATACTGGCGAGTTCATAAGTGGCGATCGTCGTAGCGAATGCCCTGCGCCGCCTCGTACATTACAATATAATAATATAATGTATGTAATAATATTAAGTACAGTATTATAATAGATACGTGTGTGATACTTACGTGCGTACTGGCGTAATAATAAGCGCACGAGTTTTGTCGTCGTGTACGCGTCTTAGTAATAAAAATAATATTATATTATCGTTTACTATTGGTTTATTTCCTCTTTTCTGTTACAGTACACGGGATCCGTGGCGGTCAACTGTCACGATCAGATGGCACGAGTTGAATTTGTCAGAAACCTAATGGCCAAACACAGAAAGGTATATATACTATTATATTATTCTAATGTTATCATAATATTACACATTATAAATAATTATCAATCACCGCCAGCAATGTTTTTATTTTTTTATTATTATTCAATACTCATGTTTATGTATGTACGATACTCAGACACTCAGCGTACGATAAGTGCAGATGTACTGTAGAAAACGAACGAGGAATATTGTTGTATTGCAATGGTGCTTAATGAGAAAACAAAAACAATGATTATATTCGATCGGGTGCTATTATTGTATATTAAAGGTTCAAAGCCATTTCAGGTAGTATACCTGTATACCTGCTCAATAACCTAAGGACTAAAACGCGTTCTATATTCGAGACTGGGTGGTAAAAATGTATTAACCTCTCAGATTTTAGAAGTTGATTAAAATGTTGGATATATAGGTACATTAGCATTTTTATACCACTGTTTGATGTCGGTAATGGGTTTACTCAACTAGTATGTCGATTTCTCCGAAATACATAGTAACTCACGTTTCCAACGTATCGTGGATATAGATATAAATGTATGTAGGTTCATATAATATAATATATTATACATGCAGTGTCCTCGTGATGTAGATGCAGTTTTAAAGGTAGTAAATTCAGAGATTTTAACAGGTAGTAGGTGGTTTTGGCGGGTCACGACCGCAAAGTTCAACGTCTATTATAAACAGAAGTAATTTTTTTAGAGTGACAAACATAAGGATTAGAGGGTCGTAAGTGCACAAGGGTATACGATATAATATAGCGATACAAACACTTGCTTAGGGTGATTTTTTATTCAACGTTATGGCACACTGACGGTGTTCGCAAGAAATCAAAAAGTATAAAAAAAATATCAACTACCAAGTCGATGATAAAAAATGAGGGTAAGATTAAAAACTATAAACATAAATAAAATAACAAAAAGGATATTTTTTTAAAAATCTAAACGTTTCCATTTTGTATTCTGAGCATTATCATATAATTATAGCTCGTAATCGAGTGAATACCTATACATAATGGTTATATTAGGTAAAATTCACTAAACACCGATTATAAAAAATGCAATTGATCCCTGGTCGTAGGTACCTATAGTCTATTAATGCAATGTCATTCTAAATGATTATTTTATACTTAAAAACTATAATGTACCCGCTACTACAACTGTACAATTATTTTATCTACAGGAAGTAACATATAATATTACACAATATAATTCCATTAACTATGTTATGTATAATTACCACGTCTTCACTCGTCAGCCGTTACTACTTATCAGATACCGATGACTGATGGGCAGATTTATTTTATTCACCTATAATATTGCCACTAATTTATCAAAAATCGTATGAGATCACGATGTAAACTCCCAGGGCTAAACGATAAATGCCTATAGTAATAAATAACGCCTAAAGTAATATCAATGATAAATCGTAAACGCACGTGCAGTCGCACCTCGTTATAAAATCATCAGGTATCGTATGTGTTTCGTTTGAAACTAGATCGATCAATAATTAGTCGAACGATTTATATTTCGAATGTTTATCGATGGACGTGCGACTACGTGAGTATAATATAATGACTTTCAAGAACGAACGGGCCTGAAAATAAAATAAATACCTAACAGTAGAGCCTATCTGACGTATGTGGTATATAGTGTAGTACCTACCTTGGTATAATAATATTATCGTACCAGTTGCACATGTCGAGGCTCGATTTGTTCACACTGTTCACGGTGAGATTTGTTTACCGAACGTGCGGACCTATTTCTGGAAATTATCTTTACACACACTGGGTACAGTAGTTGATCGGAATTCGAGCCAACTCAATTCAAATATTATCGTCTTACAAAACTCTATTTACCTCACTCTTGGAAACAAAATATTTACACGCGTATGTGGCGTTTGGAATAATTGTTGTAAATTTCGGACAAAGATTATATTATGTTCGGTACGCGTGTAAACATGAATCAAATGTGTTGAGTGGTTAAATGTAGGTATATATACCTGGTACCTACATCGTGGTACCTAGTGTATAATAGTCAGTCGTCCTTATGACTATAGTATAGTATTTTATAATATTCTGATGTAACATGCAGGAGGAGAAAAATCCACTCCTACACATAATATGTATAATATTGTTTAGTTTTACATATTACAATGTAAAGCATTTCATTTGTATTCAATCAGTTCAAACAGTATATATTTATATATAGATACTATGCGATGATGTTTGCTTCTCCGTCATTTTGCCATTGTATTTTCACGGACCTTTTGGTTCTTTCTGCAAAACGTTGAACATAAAAGATAAAAATTCTTCTCAAGTACAATATCAATAGTCAATAGATGCACCGTAAAAACACTCGTTGAACGTACCAAAAAAAAATCTACTTAAATTGATCTTATTCTATAATATGAACATGACTCGCCGATTTCTTCATTGTCGAACATAATGACCACTCTCAAATAACTTGTTGGTCATTCTTAATTGTTTTAAATATTCAGTAGCAGTCCCATTTCTAAAAACATTTAAATATATAGTTTTGAGAAAAAATGAATGTGATCGATCGATAATGATGAAATGTATTACACATTTTTATTGACACCGTCTATTAAATGTTGTTTAGGGTTCGGTCGGTCAGGAACCATTTAATCCATTAAGTATACACAATATAAGTAGAAAGGTATGTATATTATACATATATATATATATACACACATGAAAGTTTTTTTGAAGTTAGCAAACGACACAAAGATCGATGCAATAATATTTTTACTCAAAAAAAAAAAATTATATATCGTAAGGAGGGGCTGGCGTGCTGTTTGTAATTGGTACTCGAAGTCATAAAAGGGAATGAGGAGTGTGCAGAAAATAAAAATTCTGATAATGGTCGTGGAAAGAACTAATACGCAGAAAGGCACACTTAGCTGTGTACGAAAAATAATTTTTTTTTAGACCGCACTGCTGCGGGATTCACCGTAACAACAAGCAACCCTTAGGTCGAATTCGCAGGTACACTAATTTGAGTGTAGTTGTATTGTACACTGCAGCAATTATAAGTAATATCATAATAAATCATTAGGCGTTGACAAAAATGTAATATTAAAATTCTCGATTCTCGGCCGTTTTTCTTTTTTATAAAATCTACTCGACTCGCAATTTAATAATATACAGGCGATTGTCGGCGTCCATGGTACAATCTCTACAGACGATCGTCGCAGAGACGTCGAGGAATTCATTATCTCGATGAGCTGACTTTTCAGGCGAGATATCCGGTGACAAAATAATAAATATTATTATGGTTTTCTCGCCGAAAACGATGCGATCGGTTCCCCGCGTGTACGGTATCTAATTTATATTATATTATTATGACCGTATCGGCGAACGTGAATTGTGTAAATTATATGCGCACTATATAATATTATATACCTATACTATATCCAAGTCGCACACATGTTTTTAATGCGTTTATTCGCACGGATGGGTTCGCTGTCGACGTTGTAATGATAATATTATATGTATATTATTATTATAATGTAAAAGAATTCGACTGAAGTGATTCTACATCAGTTGCAGGCCTACATTTGATACAACGTTGAACCTTAAAATATCCCTGGTTACACATCTGGTTGTATAGAGTAGTGTTTTTATTTTTATTTTGAGTTATCTCATTAAACACATCATGAACAAGAAAAACAGTCAAATAACGGTGGTTTTCACTCGTTGCCCTTGTTCGAATCGCATGAAACAGCAATGGCTATTCTCAAGACATCAATTTTCACCGACAACCTCACGTTGTGAAAACTACATAATTTAAATACCTACTCGGACAACGTATTTAAAAATAATTATTTCATATTAATTGTGTATGTACTGTATTTTCTGAACTATTTGTCGTATAGAGTGTTGATCATAAAAATATTTAGTATAAATGATACATAATATAAATTAAATGAGGGTACCTACCTACACTTATCCACTTAAACCGGTTTTAAGTTAAGTTTATTAAAGTTGCAACTTAATATAATAATACGATAAAAATAAAAAACCTTGTCGACTACACGATTACATATAAGTCGAGAAACGTCAATATAAACTAATTTCAGTGTTGAAAACTTTTTTTTCCTGATGTTTCATGCCAAGGTGTAGATAATATTTTAGCTAATTATGTCAATTAAGGATAAATAATAGAACATAAAATTGCTTGCATATTTCTTATTGTATTATTAACAGATGAATTTCTGGACGAAAATATTTTGACAAGAATTTATTATAATAAGTCCATATGAAACAAATTCCAAACATTTAATTATTATATTATATCCTTAATTGACAAAGGATGAATATTGATGTTAGAAGGGTGCTTTCGACGTATAGAGATAAGAATGATTGATGTTAAGAGTGGAATTATATAAAATGAGAATATGTCGTTAAAACGAAAAAAAGAGCACTTATGAAAGTAATAGAAGTATATAAATTTTGGTGCCACAATTTCAAAAGCGGTTTTGTTTGTTATATAAAATAGAATATCGAAGAATATTTAGGTGTAAATATATACAGGTTACTTCTCTCAAATATTTTATACATAAAATATTATTTCTTTAACTCAGAAATCTTACTTAAAAAGTCTTGCAAATTATAATACATATTATTTAAACGATCACAAATCCCAATATTAATTGGTGTATTCAACTAAAATGATGTCCAGTGGGCATATTGTATATTAAAATATGTACGATAATTGTGCGAACTACCTGTGCGTTGAGAAAATATAAAATATGACTACGAGGATGCATAAAATACCAGTTTAACACTAATACACAAAAACATTTTTTAACAATTCAACACTGACATGCAATATTCAATAAATAATACAAACGATTTAATTACCTACATTCATATTTGATGATACTTCTATGTACCTCAAAAATAATAATTGTGATCCTCTATTTAATTTAATTTTTCATTATAGTATCATAATTTTGTATAGTTATCGTATTACTTATTTAATAAC